TATTATGATAATACAAAAAACAATTGTGTGGCACTTCCAAATGAATTAACAACTAAAATATAAATTAAATAATAAGTACCATAAAAAAGCAAGATTGGCAGTTAGTGTAGACACATTGTATGTTACAAGAAAAGAAAATTCAAACAATAAGTGCAACAATTATCAAACTGAAAATCAAATACTGTATATTTAGTATAATTCTAGAGTGGCTGAAGTTACTGAAGGATGCAGCTGAGAGATATTTGTTTTCATTCTTACTTTTCCAAAAACTAGGCATGAATTCACTCACACTTAATTTCTTTTCATAATCTGAGGACACCTGAATAGTATTTTACTTTATTGTTGAAGCTGGAATTAATATACTTGAGAGGGGTTGTTTCTCCAACTTCAAACTAATAGAACAAGCTTGAGATAAAAGGCTCTGCTAAATTCAAGAGCATTTACAGGTGTTAGATTGTTTAAGATTTAACTCCAATCGGCATCATCTGGAGCTCTGGAGAGCATTGAAAATCTCTCTACTCTCCTTTTGGTGGGCCCGTGATCGGGAGCCAAGCACAAAACAGTGTGGGTAATCCATGAGTGAATGACTCCGTTATCAGACATGACGTCATCACCCATTCGAAGCCTAACTGTCCAGAAATATTCCTTATTCCTGTCTAAAGGGTAAGGACTCAAAGGTGGATAAAACGTAATGAAGATTTGACAGGTCATACTGAAAGACCAAGGAATTTTCTTGACCGTGTTTCACCAAAGACATGCGTTTCAAAGTTTATTTGCTGTGGTAATTCCGATCCACTCTTCGTATGAACTGTTAAACCAAGAGGTTCGGATTGCTTATGGGTATTGAAGATCCCAAAGCATGAGGCATATGAGTAAATAACTCTGGTGCCTTGTCTAAAATCCTGTCTATCTTGTAGAGTGAGTTGGTGCACCATGACCATAAGGTGCAGCACTTGAATGTGTCCCTTCCGATACTGCCTAAAAACCTGAAATGATTGGATGCCCGGAAAAAATAAGGACTGAAGAATACTGAGCAGGTACAGTGAGGAAGATGAGTGCTGCTCTTTCAGCTGCTCCTGACTTTTCAACCCACCCCTCACTATCCTTGTCCTGCAGCTCTGCTAAAGGCTGCATAACCTTGTGCAAACATTCACAGCCAAATCCAAAACAGAACGGAGCCAATCTTGGTTATTTGCTATTTTAAAAAATGAAAGAACCAAAAGACCCCTTTTATTTTTTTCCTATCCACTTCTGGCTTTAAAGTCTGTGCTCCTTTTAACCACAGGTCTAATGAGAAATGGCTTGCATTAGTCTCCAGTACAGCTTTGTCCTCATGCCAAAAGGAAGCCTGTTTTTATGAGCTGAGAGAGTATTTAATCTTCCATAATCGGCCAGTTTTAGGGAATATTTAAAAAGATCTAAGCAAGTCCACTAGGGCTAACTATGACTGCACCCAACCTGAAAAGTTGAAATCCAGACCTGGTCAAATCTCTCTCTGTGACTCAAACCTAACCTGGATGATGCATCATTTTTAATAGCCTTGTTCATAGCAATTCTATGAATAAGTAGTAGTAAGATTACATAAATGTACAATTATCTATAAAAGTATTTCAGTTTATTTGATGTCTTCACTAATCAAAAATCAATTTTCATTATCTAGTTTTCATCAAACCTTTATAATATGGGGTATGATTTCCACTGGCATTTGTCTTAAATATTCCTTACCCCTGGGGAATAAGGAATACAGCAAGATGTAAGTAGCAAGGCACTATTAAAATGTCTGCAAAACTGACCTAAGATGTGGCATAGATACATCTCACACACAAACATTTCCAGTTTCCAATTTGTCTATAGTTACCTCAATCCTGTAATCCTCAGGGCACTATGAGAAACAACAAGTTTTTACAAGTGCTCCATGACTGCAGGTACTAAATGGACAACTTTACCTGAGTTTTACCTCAGTTGATTTTGGGGCCTCACAGGTATTAAAATAGACTAGATTTAAGTAAAATGCAAAATATGAAAAATATTTTACATGTTTATTTCCATTATATATTGATATATTTATTTTAAGATTTTTATATTAATTTTAAATCAATTGATATTAAGTCCTCATTTCTACAAATGCCATCTTCACCTGGTAAACAGTCAGTGAAAGGAGTCAGTTTTAGTTTTTTGATAGTAATATCTATACAAATTAAGTTGACAGTACATTAACCACAGGTTTAACTGAAAAAGACAAAAAAGACAAAGGAGCAAGATGAATAACAAGGCTGTTAAATTACACCGCTGTGTGAAGTATGATCCAAAACCAGATTAGGGTTGCTTTACCACTGATTTCTGGGTTGATTTCTTTCAGGTTGTAATATCTATTTTTTTAATTCTAATATATTTCATCTATGTCAAGGTGTCCCCATAATTATGGAAAATTGTAGTCACTTAACATTGCTACCAGTGGTTCAGTCCAGGGAAGCTTGCCATGGTCTTGACTGATCCAACTGGATCCTGCACCACTGTTGTTGTGCTGGTCCTAACAATTGTCAGTTCAAGGAATGATATGAAATATGAGGTAAACCAAATGGTCTAAAAGAACTGTTTTTGCAGTATTCCCTGACTGTGGCATGGAGAGCCCATTGATTGAGTAGCTCTAAGGGAACTATTCTGTTTCACTCAGTCCCAGAACCATGTGTCATTACTCACCAAATACTCTGCATTGTAACAAGAATGCAGTAATCATCAGATTTTCAATCTGCTCCTCTCAAAATGGATTCATGTTCCCTTTCAACAAGCAATATGTTTTATTAGGGGTCCCAAATCCCCATCCCCAAGGGCCACAAACACTGTAAACTACTGTGATAGTGAACAATATTTCCCTTTAGGCTTCAGTGAAATATTTTTTTCTGCCTTTTGTCCATTTAAATATTCTGTTTTACCCATACTTGGATAATGGATTTCCAGTTATTTCTATAATTCTATAAATTATTCTATAACATATTTTCTGTTACTTTCCATCATTTTAAAAATGCTTGCCTTTAGCCTTATGATTTATTTAAACATTTGGCTTTCTTGGCTGTGATTAACTTGTGGGATTACCCTGTTCTGTGTTTCAAACACAGTATATTTCTTCACTGATTTCATATCTAATCTCTGCTACATTCCTTAAGTCTCCATTTCTAAAATTATATTCCTGTGTTTTGAACTCTACCTGTATAGTTTCAGAAGAATCTGTTTTTGTTGTTGCGAAAGACTAGATCAATGCAAACATTCCATCCAACAAGTGGTCCGGAGTAAGAAAGCAGTCATGAGCCATGCGCACCATTTCGGTTTCAGCTGCTGACATCTGTGTTGGCTTTTCCCAGCGTAGATGGGGAAATTTTATTCTCCCATGATAACCACTTCTTGTTTTAGAAATATGCTCCTGATATCCACGTTTAAAACTGCATTGCAATCAAACAGTTTATAATCTATGCAACACAGTTAAACAGTTAAAATCCCAATTAACCCTTAATTGGATTACCTCAACCCCTTTTCTCAGGTATTATGCTGTAAGTGATTTAAAGCAATAGCCTGCTGGCCCTCAAAGAGCTGAGCTAAGGACCCCAGACTTGGATAAGCAGGGCAAACACATTTTCTGAACTACGGGATGCATAAAGTGACATTGTCGGAGTCAGCCAGTTAAAATAATATTTTAAGACTTTAGAAAGATTGATTTCCTAGTCTTTTACCATGCTAAAACAATGCAAATGATCCCATATTGGCAGAGCAGGAGAGGTTGAGGACACTCAAGGCAGGTTGGATGTCTGCAGTTCCTCTGCCACAGAGTGGGTAGTCGAGCAGCAGAGTTACACAGACACTCACATTCCTAAGGCAATTACAGATTGAACTGACCAGTCCAGTTCCACAGAGCAGGTCCCTCTAGTTCTGGACAGATGAAACACCAACAATAAGTTTTTTTTCTAAGAAAGATCATGGCTGTAAGAGGAATAGGTCAATAGTGTTCATTAAAAACTTCCCGGGGTTCGCTCATGAACTGGATTACTGAAGGAAAAGACCACTGTACTGTCCACTTTATAAGAGATACCCCACAAAGGCAGTCTATGCAAATTAATTCCCCTTCAACTCTTTTCAACCTCCAGGAACACAATAAAAACATTGTTGCTCTAGTTATATATTGTGCTGTGATGTATTTCGAGGGTTGTGGGTGTCTGTTACACAGTGCACAGATATATTATTGAAGCAAACTTCCTGGCATCCTTTAGGTCTCAGAAGGACTAAGGTCCCTGGATCAATGAGTTACAGTACTACACTATCAAAAGACCAAAGGGGGTCAAATAACGTCCACTCATCTGTGACTGTTCTCATGGTTTTGTGTTCTCATCCGCAAAACAAACTCGGATAATGGAAAATCTTTTAATGCACTGGGATCCACACTACTATGTTAAAAACAAAACTGGAATACTTTAAAATGTTGAACAATCATTTAGTATTCTTCTTCAACTGATACATTTGTCTATATTGAAACAGATTCACTAATAACACAAAACAGGTTATTACCTGTTGACTGAGTACATATTCAGATGCAATAAATTGTTTTCTTTGCTCAATTTTTTCATGATTATAGTTTTCTTTCTTCACAAGTTAACACAATAAGTCCAAGAACCTGTAGCATTTTTAAGTTTGAAATCATCTATGATTCAGTTTGAAGTAGCCTAATTTATTTCACTGCCTATATGAGAAACTCCATCTGCAATGTGTAGCAGTGTGGACTGTAGTTGAAAGTTGTTCTTTTAGAATGGCACTTCTGATTGACATGTTTTTCAAATGCATGTTTTTCAAATGCAAAACCAGTAATTTTCAAAATGGCAATTTTGTCACATGGACAGTTCCAATTTCCCCATCGTATTTGTTTCTTGTTAACGATGCAAGTCCTTCTTTCGTGGATCAAATAACATAACCTCCCATTATCATTCAAAGAGCATTGTCTTAGAAATATCTCAGACTGAAGTGTAGCAAGATGCTCAATGATTTTTATTTGTACAATAACAAGTGAAAAGAGATTACAACATTGCAAATAACACAAGAATAAAAATGGAGGTACACAGAGGTAGGAGAAAATCTGATGTAACTAGAAACAGTGAGATATTCTTAATTAGTCATACATTTAACAAACCAACAGTGTCTCCCCTTAGAGTATTTGTATATGAAGTGTAAAAAGCTTAAAGCTTAACCTCTGTACTCTGTATTTGTATAAAACACACCTCATTCACACATTAAAGAGTAATTCTCCTTTTGAAAGAAAAGTCCTCCCTGCTGAAGAATTTGTAACCCTGGTGTGAAAATACATTTGTTGCTGCCATTGTGTTGAATTAGAAACCGTGGCAGTCCAACTTTAGGAGTTTACATTTTCAGCTGTTTTTTTTTATGCAAACGTAAGGAAGGGGAGGTAATTCCCATACGGAGTTCCTGCACTACAGTTAGTCTCTAAAAACAGGAAAGGTTAAGCAGCTGGGATTGAAAGTAACAATCCAGTCATTGCCCCATTCGACTGGAACATTTTTAAAGATTATTACTGTCTTGTGATAAACTTGAAGACTACTGCTTTTGTAGCTCCAGCATTTGAAATCTTACACGAACACTTTAAGAGTCACAGAAAAAATTCAGTAGAAAACACTAAACTTATTTGTAGGGGAACAGTTTGTGTCACTGTATTGATGAGTTTAATATCCAATTAGCTGAAAACAAGAGCAAAGCAAAGCAAACAAACTGCTTTAAAGGATCTATGGAACACACTGTTTCATTCCTAAAGGACGTGTAATCAGCTGATGTACAAAGCTATAGGTCTACCTTGATAAAAAAAGAACTGAAAAATAAAAATCAAAGGCAGGTTTACTGTAAAAAGAAAATAGAGAAGAAACAAAAAAAAAAGCCCCACATAGCCTTCAACAACACTCAGCTCGATTTAACAGGAAACCATGAGAATCTTGAAAGTCATAACCTTCAGCTATAAATTGAGGTTTGGAGATCAGAAATGTGTGACCCTGGCAGTCTCCAGCTGACCCCGAGGGGAGGTGAGCCCCGATGGCACACAGACCTCCAAGGCAGAGAGGCGGCGAGAGACCCCCCAAGACGGGTATAAATCCAGCCCCACCAAGGAGGACCAGCGGACAGCAGCAGACCTGCAGCGGGGAGAGACAGGGCAGGACGGGGGATCAAAAGCACACTCGTACAGTCCATAACCGTAATATCGCACACTACTGCATCATCTGGGGCAGGAGCCACCAGTCATTCACATGCACTAATAAATGATGCAACGGATACTAATGAACAGGCAAAGACTCCTTTTTTACTTATTCTTTCTTCTCAGGGGGAAATTTTAGCATACTTGCTGTCTAAATTAACGTCTTAAGGAAGCCACCAGACAAGAAGCGTCTGCAGTTTATATGATTTTATTTCTGACAGAGATAACACGTTTTGTCACCTAACACTGGAGATCAGTTCCCAAGGCAGGGCTCTAAGCCAGAGCTGTGCTTCCACAGAACATGATGCCTTCATTTCCAAAGGTAGTAAACCTGGATTTGCATTAATTTGATGTTTTTCAGTGTTTCTACAATGAGGATTTTCCATATGGACAAGTCTTGAAGTTGCACTTATATCTAAACACAGGCCATTGACACTGACTGGGAATCTGGTACTTGTTTGTCTAGAAAATGTCCATGGAAACATAACCCATTCTAACACAATCCTTCCACTTAAGAATAAATGTGTAGGAACAAACCTTGATATGCCTGACATAATATGCATGTACTTGGCTGTTCACAGCTGGAATTTACATTTGAAAATTCAAGAGACTGAAAACATCCCATTACAAGGTTGTGTTTGGCTCAGACCATGGATGGGCAGACAGGATTGAATTAAAAAACTCTACATATGTATTTTCATGCATAGGTATGTGCTGTCAATACAATATAGAAAAAGGATGCCTTAATTTGTAGGAATGTCTATATACAGTATGCTACATTGGCTTGCTTGTTTAAAAAGGAAAGATTGGACAAGATACATTAGGTCAATGGTACTATATTGTGTTCTAGCATTCCTGAATGGCTCCATAAGATCTAAAATAAAGCTATGTGTCAAATCTGATGAGAGTTAATGTAGAGGAAGAGATCTTTAGTTTTAAACAATTAAGAGAACTGAGCAAGTTTTCATCTCTCCATGGAATTTTTCAAAGAGCAAAAATATTCAAACAACATACTCCTACAGTGGCACAGACAGCTATGTATCAGGAGTACGAACAAGCAGTGAATGGCGAATGGAGTATGTCACTTTAGGTGTGCAGTCTGTAATATCAAACATGTAGCTTGGGAACGAGCAAAAAGAAGTGTTATCCATTTTACGGGAAGATACATTTGACATACATTTGGACTGGGAAATCTGAGGAAATGCCTGGAAGATTGTTAACAGTTTCTATGAAACGTAAGTTGCGGTTGGCAGTAAAACCTGTGATCTTAACAGTTAAAGGACGAAACATTGAATACAAACCACAGTGAATACAAAGCTATATTTGTCTTCAATCTTTGTATCTTTTCATATTCAAGAGTGTTCAAGCAATTTCTGATTTTGACAATGGTACAGTCGTTTGTAGATAGCTAAATATGTTCAAATACACCTAGCTTAAATGAGTGAACACATCATATACTGTAATACATATTTAGCTTTTATGTGTGCATAGTTAAATGAACAGCAGTTAAAAACAGATGTTTAAGATAAAATCCAGAGTCAGAGATGAATGGTAATTCAATGTAAAGAGGCGTCTGCAAATATTCAAGGCAGGCATTAGAAAGAAAAGCATGCTCTCACATACTGATCCTCAAATATACGGGTTCTCATTAGCTCTAATAAACCAAAAAGCCTTGTCTTAAATTAATTTCAATGAAGAAAGCCAAACATTTAAACAGGAGCCCAAATTATAACATTTACAGTGTTTTCAGAGTTTGAAGTAAGAAGGGGAGGCTGTGTGGAAAACTGAGTTCCATAAAAATATGTATATCCATCTGATTCCAAACTTTGAGATGAATCACAGATTTACTACTGCGGTTTACAGCTCAGCCAAACATCCATTAACATAGAAAGCATAACTTACAGTAAGACTCGATATATGGATCCTACTTTCCATCTTTTTGTAATGATGTGGCACTAATGGATGAACATCTGGTAGTGTAAAAAGCCCCACAGATTGAAGTGTCTGAGTAATGAGGTCCTTCTATTTCAGTAGAATAGAGGAATTCCTTTTTGTAGACTATCCAGCACTGATCCAAGGACACTTATTGCTACCTTAGCTCTTACTCACCTAGTTGTTCCTTCACTGGACTGAATTAACCCCAGGTCTGGATCTGGATATATGCAAAGGTTTGGATCCACAAACTACATTGTGTTTGAAAAAATAAGCGCAGCAATTTCTAAACCTGCAGCTTGATTGGATTGTTTAAGGTTAGCCAAAGGCTTCTTGAATATACCCACTAGACAGCAACCAAGGGCCATCTTTGTCTTTTTGTCCACAGAGAAGAATCATCTTCGGCTTAGACTGTAGCCTTCTGGAGCCCAGGGATTTTAAGGCTCGTCATTTAATGAGCTCGAGATGGCTTGCATCAATGCAGTGGAAACCACCAGGTGTTTGGAATCTGTAGCTCAAAAGGAGAAGAAAACTGTGTTTGAGGACCCTAGCTTAAATTATTATTGGACACAGAAGCATAATCACAAACACCCGGTTGCCTGTTCCTTAAATCCTTATCCTCCTCGATCCTCTCCTGGTTCCTGACCAGCATATCTGCTGGTCTTCTAGGAATCTGAACAAGATCAATTCATCAGACATGCTATCATTAGGAAGGTTTACTGAGGCTTCAATTAACTTACTTCAATTAGATCATAAAAGAGCTGGATGTGCCCAAGATCTGGCCTGGAACAGATTGGAAGGGCTTGTATTTCACACTTCCTATTTTAATCACATGTGCCTTAGCCATTAGGAACCCTTCTCCAGAGTGGGAGGGAAAGTTCCATTGATTACTATGACCTTCAGCTCTCTGTTCCCACAGACCACAAGGAGTGTGACTGTCTGACAGAACTGGCTAATAGCAGGCAAGGGGATGCAGGAATGTGAGCCCCTTGTGTGAGGTGATTGTTACCAGAGATGTGTCGACCTTGCCCTACAGTCCCTGAGCTCAGAGCAGAGCGCCTGGCGATTCCTGAGTGAGGGCCAAGGTGTTGCACAATGCCGCTGAATGCGCAGTAGTGTGCCGCTGTGATACCTAATCAGCGCAGTGCACCCGAGTATCTAGTGGAACATCCGTAAGACGGGGCTGAGTGAGAACGTTGAAACCATTCTGGTTCAACTTCAGGATAGTGGGTCATCAGTTTATCCCCAGGTCTGGAACAAGAAGAGGGATTGGAGTTAGACGTCAGGCTAGATTGGTTGCTTTAACCTCATGTGAAATTATAAGCACAGGAGGGAAACATACAATGAGCATGTTCTTGAAATAAGAATTATTGTGCTAGTTCACCATTTCAACATCCAATTAAAGTTATTTATTTTATTCTTGGAACTACTGCTCTCCCCATAAAGAGCTTTGTTAGACCAGGTAAAATAATTCTGTATTTATTCACAGTCACTACTATGTATAACTATGTACTCTAAAGCAATACTATGACAGCCCTTGCTCACCCCATTAATCAGCTGCAGGGCATTATTCGTAGGAGCTGCATCTGTTTTCGGAAGACAGTCCTACAGTTACTGCAGAATCCTGGGTTGATGTTCCTTTCTGCTACTTTTTCTTAATCTAAATTGTTAGTCCATCTTTTCTTTCACTTTGTTAAATGATTTTCTAACTGCTTATTCCCTTTTAGGGTTGTGGGAGAACCTGTCCTGCCAAGGCGGGGAACACCCTGGACAGGACACCAGTCCAACACTCACAAACACGCACACACCTAAGGGCACTTTTACCAGGAGCCATTGAACATTTAACCTACCAGTATGTTTTTGAACTGTGGGAGAAAACCAGGGTCCAAGAGAGAGGAAATCCATACAAATACAGGGAGAACATTCAAACTGCACACAGATCACACCACAGGTCTGGATTTGAACCCAGAGCCCCAGTGCTACAAGACAGTAATGCTGACCACAGTGCCACTTTGCCTCCCAACCTGCTTGCTTAATATTCAGGGATAATCTATAATTGACAATAACCAGGCATTCACGTCAACTAAAATGTTTGCCTAATAGCATCAGCTATATTTCATCTCCATGACTAATTCCAGAATAAGAAGAGATTTCACCGTATGATGATTTCAACCTCTTATGACATATCATTCTCCATATATTCTCTCATATGCTTTCAGCTGCCAAGGTATTGTCTCTTTCAGCCCCACACATTTGTCAGTGTAACTGCAGCAGAGTCTGGATTTTCCTGTAAGGAGCACTGGCTGCCAATGAGCATGCAATTGCTATCACTCCAGCTCAAGTGATCTAAAAAATTCCTGGTTGTGTCATAGTCTCACAAGTACCCATATTAATACCTTTAAAATATCGTCATTTATAAAAGCATACCTGCAAAAAGGGTGAGCAGGCAATTTGTAACACAAGTTATAGGTTGCAATTTTTTTTAGGACACAACAAACAATATTAATAATGAAGATTGTATTAATAAAGTATTTATATACAGTATGTGGCAAAGTTTTATTGTTATGAACACAATTATTCATTAGATGTAAGTAGTTCCTAACTGTTTTTTCACACTTCATTATGCATTATTAATATATTAAATATTACAGAGGAAGCATAACTGGAATGTGCAGCTCCACCTTTGAAATGAAGAAAGCTTACGAATGAGAGACCATGTGAACCATATCAAATAGGTGAGGTTCCAAAAACACACCACTGTCTCAAGTCAATCAAACTTTAAACAAAAACACAACTTTAAACTCTGTTAGTATATAAAGTATAAAAGTAGGTTACCCCAAGTTGGGGGTACTTGGGGGAAGTGTCTCTACTTCTCCCATAGACATGCAAGAACCTACTGTAAAAGAAAATATTCAGTTCACATTATGATCTTTTCATAATGAGTCTGTGCAGTAAGTCAATACCTAAGTACCTGAGCACTAACTGCAAACACGTTCATCCCTGTGTAGAGATCAGAGGCTCTGTGTCATCAGTCTCTACTTACTCTTTACATGCATGTCTGTAGGAGTTTACTGCAGAGGTGCTGAAGCCTGCTCTTAGAGGACTAAGGGGTCTGATCTTTGCTTAAACCAAACTCGTTGTGTATTCCTGAGTTTCAGAACATCCCTCATTAAGGTGTGTTAGCTGAAATGTGACAAATCGGACTTATGCAGAAGGAAAAATTTTGTTAATTTTGGAATCACCCTTTAAGAGCTGTTCAGTATCACCCGATCTGCTTGTTATCAGTCCAGAATGTGCCTGATCTGGGTGTGGAGTGGTCGATTTGAATGGTGAAGCTGATACCTGCTGCACTTCCCAGCCAGTTCAGCAGGTTGTCATCCAGCCATTCAATCGTTGTTGTTAACTGTAATTATACAGTTCATTGCAACTGTATAATTCAACCAAAGAAAAGAAACAATGTGTGCACTTTAAAACTGGTTCATTGTGGGGGTGTTCATCAACCGGATCACCCTTTAAGAGCTTTTTAGTACGAAGTACGTTAGCATATTACTAAGCAGGAGGCTGAGAAAGACTGCAAAATGTTTGGTGTGAAACAGTTGTTGGAAATATCTTGTAGCGAGGATATTTTTTAAACTAAGGACTGACTCTGGAAATGAATCTAAACCTGCAAGCAGGTCTGTTCCAGACACCAGTCAGCACCAGCGAATAAGGGCTCTGTGGGAATGGCATCCAGCAGACACAAGGCTCTGTCCAGCCCAGGACTGAGAGCCATTATCTGTAAAGAATTTGACCAACCATAAGGTGGAGAAACTATAATATGATTAGCTGACCACTTTATGGAATATATATGATCAATTCAATGCATACAGCAGAACTGCCAGTTCAGTAATCATACAGCTGAAGACCTCACCATGTGTGCAGCGTGTGTCAGTGTTATGAAACGATTGCCTCATGCAAATTAGAGATCTTCAAAGTAGTGATTTTGGAAACTTTTGGAATGAACCTTCTACTCTGGCATTATCACGACATACAGCACAGACGTTTTGACAAAAAGTTCACTGACACAGTGATTTATTAAACAGCTACGGAGGACTGTACACTTGAGACGCCCTGAAACAAGTCCATTCATAAAAAGATAGATGCTTATTCGTGGTAAAGGAAGAGGGCGAGATGTAAGAGTTAAGTGATGAGAGGAAACAGTGCGCTAGGCCGGATTTCTACCCGGGCTGTCCGCCGGGAACGAAGTAACCTGGGAAATTGGAGCACCCGGAGGACAAAAAACCCGCAATCAAGAGGAGAACATGCAATGTTTCGTCACGGAAGAAATTATTTATTTAATAAATGTTATTATTAAATTATTAGTAGTAGTACTGTAGTTGCAGTAGTAGTAGCATGCTTATCATCATCGTCTTTAACAAAGGAACAATTATTTCTAATGCCTCCTTATAGATTCTCTATCCATTTCCTGAAATGCACCAGTGCACTAGTGGCACATTACAAAGCGTTTGAGTTCCTATTAGCCAAATTATAATGAGAGCTGTGCTTTACACCGGGTGACTGGGGACACATTAAGGACCTCAGACTCGGAGTTTTTAAGCCACTAATAGGGGTACTGCCCGGAAACCCAGGGGGTGAGCTGGACGATGCCCGCAGTTTATTAAACACGATCCTTTGCTCAGAAACATTCCTCTTAAACTCTCAGTCGGCAACAGGTATTTCACAGAAATTAAATGTGACAGTTGGGCTTGTGATATTTTGGACGACGAGACATGCATTTCCCGGGTTTAAAATAGAACAAGCAATTATGTTTCCAGGCTGCGAAAATGTTAACTGCGGGGTTTTTTTTCGGAGGAAAATAGTTCCTGCCCAAATACCGGTATTGCGGCGCAAGATTACATGATTTCACATGTTATTGCATGTTTAATTGTGTTCAGATTTGGTATTCTCGTGGAGAATGTTAGCCATGTTTGTTAACTATAAAGCTCGAGTGACGTATCTGAAGAAACGGACATTTTGTGGAAGAAAATAGAATTATCAAGGCCACGTATTATTTTTCTGACGTTTTTTTTCAGCACCATAGCAGCAATAATGTGTACGACAAGATTTAATTGTTTAACAGATAATGTATTTTTTACCAGTGATAGATTCTGTTAGATTTTCAAGAATTTGGACAAATATATTCTTGCAGTTTTTAGAAGCGCGCAAACGTATTCTAATCTTTAGACGTAAATGGCAGTATTATTTTCTGTTCTGAGTTTAACGTTGTGCTATTATCCTCTCCCAATTTAGCTTACATTGAACGAACTACACGTACACTTAAATTAGAAAGTCTCCAAAGAGATTTACAGCAGTTTCGTTTAAATGTTCAAAAGGACATTTTCAATGCGAGGTTAAAACTTCGTTTCTGAACTATCACTAAAACTCGACCCTCTACAAACAAATTACAGACTTTATAAGAGGGGGGAGGTTTTTCTTTCGTATAAGTTTATTTTTTAAATATTTCACATACTTAATAAACAAAAAATATTTTAAAATGCTTTAGTGGGATAACTTCTCGGGTTTCGTCACATCTTAGTTTATGTATTGTTGTTTTGTTTCTTCATCATGTGCTTGCGAAATTATGTTGTATTACTGTACTAAAAAGAACAATCTAATTATTACTGGAACAAGACGTTTATGTTTTAGATGTGCTAACCTAGACAAAAAAGGAGAGAGATACAGTAAGATTTGAAAATGCTTTCCATTTATTATTCTAAGAGCTTGGGTTTATGGCTTAATCGGACTGTTAAAGTGTAGTCAAACGCAAAATCTTTTGCATGAATGAATCCACGTATAATATGCACAAGCAACGTGTCATTTTTTGGGAATGTGACTGAGAACTTTAATTTCAGTTTTGTAAGGAAGACGCTGTGCGTTTCACCCGTTCTGATTTTTAGCGGGATTGGTGTTCCCATTACGCAGTTAAGATGATTATGTCTAATCTTAAATTGGGTGGAATTTAAAAGCTGCTCAGCTCAAACAGTGTTCTAACGCTAAACCCGGTGTTACAATCTGCATCAGGCATCAGTGGCTTAGCAGTTATCGAGGTCCTGCGTCCTGCTCTTGTATGTTTCAAGTCTATTTTACATGTCTATACGCGATAACTGAAGCATAAAACTCCTCAAATTAGTTATAGAATGCAATATAGATTATTTTATTCATTATACCGTCCCAATGGTCCCAACAAAAGTTGTAGGATACTTGAAAGGGTA